AAACGTTCCCTTAGGCAACTGCAAGCAAGGGGCGGCCCATTGCGCAGTTGGAGTAAAGTGACAAATAGATTTTTGTTTCTTCACGCTCTGCATTTTTGCAGTTTCGATCCGGTATCTTTATTTTAAAACGCTCCATTGCCTGAAACTTTGCGGCTGGAAGCTTTATTAAATAGTACGTTTCTCTGCCTCTGCACTGCTAAGTATCCTGGACAGGAAGGGTAATATGAACATGTGCTAAAGTTCAGTGGGCGCTGCAAGAGCGAGCATCGACCTTGTTTCAATTATTTTGTCTAAATGAGACGGCTGTCATCCATCAGGAGCCAGGTGAAAAGTTGCTTACCTGAACAGACGGCGGATGATGGTACTCAATCAGTGTATCTGCAAAGTCCATCTTAATGATACGTGAAATTATTATAACTGCTTAACACGAGTGAGGAAATTATTCTTCTTTAGACCAGCAAATATCACTGGGCTGAAATGGATTATTTGCGGTATCAAGCAACCAAATACAGCAACGCGAACAATCTCGCACGAAGGTGGTACTGAAAATCTGGGAAACCTCACTAGGTACAACGGCCTCTCTACACTTTGGAGAGTACGTTTTTCTGCTCGGACTAGCTCAATAGATCGTTTAAAAGACGCTGGCCTATTTGACAGTGCGAAGACGTGATCACCTTGCACAAAGAACTGGAAAACATCGAAGTAACACGTAGACTCTTTACTCTTGTATATTGGAGAGTATTTCTTACAGGTGTAGCCTATGCCGTAGCTATGAAGGCCCAGCATGAACTTACATTCAATCATCTCCAATTCGAGCTGACATTTCTCATGACATTAAAGCAGATTGTTTTGAAAAATGATATTTTAGCTCTATAGGGTTGAAGGATTAATGGATGACTTTGCGCATTTATCATAATGGCGTATAGATTTTTTTCTTCTCTCGATGGAAATGTGAAGGATGTCGCTTGAATTTGTTTGGCTTACTGCTGCAATTTTTGCCTTTAAAATAATGTTTGATGTTACACTCAGTCTCCTTTAGGATTTATCATTTGTCAGATGGGGTAGTACGTTCATTGAAGAATTCAGTGTCAGGCGGGTAGTCTTCAGATTGTTGAGAATATAGTCTCTGGTCGAGATGTGAAGGGTCAAATCTAAATTTTAATCAATCCTATTTCTTGTATCTTCGATTGGTGTACTGAACGTAAATTCCGGTGTAGACTTTTATATACCTTTTTTGTCTTAATGATGACAATAGTAGGTAATTGATACAGGAATATACGTCGCTTGACTTAGACTAGGGGCTTGTTCTGAACATGTTGCGGCAATCCTACAGAATACCAATCGCAAACCATCGACCTAATGCTTTTATGGTAATATACTATACTATTTAGATTTGTTTTCCGCATTAATTGTATCAGTACGTTAATAGCAATATGGTCTTTGCTCAAGAAAGCGTTAAGCTCTTTATTTTCTGCCTACCGGTGTTCAAACCTAAAACTGCTGTTGCGGGCCCGATTTTTGAAGGAGATTCGTGTTAGGCATGTAGAAAAACGATACTGTTTCTGGTATATCAGGTAGTATCTTTCTGTAAAATGCAAATTTTATCTGTATATAAAAGTATCTTTTACATATTCATTCCTTTTGGCGAAATGTACGAATTTAATTTTTTTAAGTTAATTTTTTGAATTCTTAAAATTGTGCTTTAGGTAAGTCATCGCTCCAGAATATTTATTAAAATGATGCAGCGCAGACCAGTATTACGTTTAGAAGCACTTAATCCAACTCTCTTCAGGAATCTGGAAGAACTCCGACTGATAAAGGTACATGAAGAAAAATTAATATTTAAATGTCGATCATGAATGCCTTTACTCTGAATGCTGAATAGTCTCCTATTGTGTGAGGATCTAGAACTTTTGTCACAGCTCACTCCGGTAGATTGGGGTGTGGTGCTGCTCGCTTTTTTGAAATGGTATCTTTCGATGATCAAAGCCTCACAAAGTGTTCTACGTGTATTTGCCCATTGGACTTGATGAAGGTTGGAGAGAAGTTGGCAGTAGTTAGTGCAGGTTACTGTGTCAGCCTGAACAGTGCCCACTGCTCGTTAAAACATAATATGCTATTCGTAAACGGATCTGGAATGGTGTCAGGATCTTCATTGGCCACCCATAATGCAAGAATGCTATCGATAGACGAAATGGAGAAGATAAGGGTAGTAGTCGCTGGGACATAAGATGGCCGTATATCTGCTGAACTTATTGCGGTAATCAAATGTTCCTCTGGAAGATCTTCGAGTCCCGAGTTCGTTCGGGATAAAGGAATGTTGTGCTGTTTGTATTGAGCTGTGATATAATCTTACCTCGTATAACAGCTCTACTTGTACCGGTGGACAGAAGAAAATCAGTTGAAAAATTCCAAGTTTACAGCCCAAAATTGAGAATTTCAAGATGAAAACCTCGAGCAGTTCTATGATGAACTGGAAGGTTCAATAGAGAAGACGATTGTCGATGTAGATTCCAAGTAGTGATCGGATACAGAACGAACGAACAGGGTTTTATTGGCAAAAGTGGAAGAGGGAAAAGAAATGAACGCTGAGATCGCTTCGCGCGTCTGATTGAAAGCAATCACTTCCACGTGATGAAGATTGTTTTCTCGGAAGCTGCACAGCAACAATGGACATGGAAAAGCGCGACGAATCTCTGAACCAAATCGATTATTTACTGGCTGAACTTCAGACGTGTCGGTCATAAGCGAGAACAGCATCTGTAAAAATATCCAGATTGATAGAAGAGTATTACCGTACAGCTTTTTAATGGGAGCCGCGCCTCCATAATTAGTATCATTATTGACAGCATCATAATTAAAATCGTTAATTAAAACATTCGCTAATCGTTCATTAGAACAACTGTTTTCATGCCGTTGAAGAACGCTGAGCTGACACAGCCAAGGTAAAGGAAGATTTTTGTGGAATGAAAGACTTTCTTAACTGAAATATTAGACTCGTTTCTAAAACCTTAAATCTTATGTGAGCTTCTTATTTAGCTCTGACTGAAAAGTGTCCTCGTTGGAGATGATTGAGCTGAGGTAAAATCATCAACCTCCAGATAAAATTCGTCTCATTGTACCACATGTAGATCAGCTTAAACTTCGGTCACATGCTTCTGTTAACTAATTGCATTGATTAATGCATTGAATTGAGTAAGTATTGAATTTTTGTATTGAGTAAGTAAGAAATGATTTCCTAGCACTTCCTACGAAGCAGACAGCCCGATGGATGTGTAGAATGGTAGCATGCTTACCAGTAAGAAACTTGTGGACCTTCGCCTCGTAATTGCTTTCACTAGTGTCACTACGACAATATTGTTTAGAAAATGCGCAATGATCTGCTCTTGATGAGACCATATCTGCAGACGTGTCGCGAGGTGGCTCGGCTGTGTCTGTTGCGTCATCTGAGGCCGTACGGACATTTTATCGATACCTCCGACGTCTACTCAATGCAGGACTTAATCGACATCGCTGATGGCATTCTCGCAACCCGCTTTCGTGAAACTCTGGACATCTTTCGACAGCACATTAAAGTCGACTGTGATGTACGCAACTTTGTTTTTGGTCTTTTTTCGATACAGGTTTCTTTGCCGGTCTTCAGTTCAGTGTTAAACCCTTGATATTATCGTTCGCTTTTCAACTTCTCGGGGTAGATAAATGAATACCTCCTTGTGAGAAAGAAAATGAACTAGAAACTGCGTTGGAAGACCCTGTTTCCTGTACCATGTTCCGTTCGATGGAGAGATCTACGAATCTGTGGTAATCTTTAAGTTTCCAGCAACAAATGGTTGTTTGTTGGACATTACCTCATTTTTGATTTAAATATTTCCATTCTGCACTGCCGCATCCTGCACAAAAACGTATGCTAAGGTAGCGCGTCAAATACCCTGAGAAACATATGTAAATGCAACTAATGCGGCTTTTAGCAGTTTTCTCAGTTTGCAAAAACAGCATGGACTGCTTATCTGGGTTTAACATTTTATAACAACACAGTTTTCACCACTCTGGTGAGAATGAACGTTACTAACTGGATACAAACTGTTGATGGCTTAGTCTTAGTCGAGACAAAGATATAGAAATTTTAGCCAAGCAACGGAGGCAAGTCGATTACAGTGCGTCTTGTGTCGACCGGCTTCCTGTACTCACTTGTACTGTTGATTTTCACCAAGCAAACGTTTTAGGCATGCCGTGGAAATGGTTATCTGTGCGAACTTTGCGGCGACCAAACTTTACTGTTTCCGTTCGACGAATTCATCGGCATATGTCGCCAGTGTTCAGCTGTGTTTCACAGGTATGTACTAATGAGTTCAGCATAACTATCGTTAGGTTGATCGCTTTTTCCATAAAATTCCTGCCTTTCATTCTCAGAGAGGATGCAAAACACCAAAAGAGTAGAGTAGTAAGTTTTTTAGCATGCGGAGTGGTTCACTTTGAGATTTACATGTTCCGCCACAGGACGTTTTCTGTAGGACAGATAGGTAGTGGAGAGGTGGGGAGGGCAAGTACCGGACGAAGCTTGTGAGCCATCTCTAATGCACATTCATCGCACTGCTTGTAAAAAATTTGTGCTGCAGAGTAGTACTGCCATACAACAAAAACTATCATCATATGCGAAAATAATCTATTCTTACAGAACTTGCCGTAAGTTTAGGATTTAAAATTATAGGTCCATCCACTTCGATTTTGTTAAGAACTCTAAGCCAACCGGCTTTCACAACGCTGTGACATTACCCCCTCGTTCTTACATTCCCAGTTTCATGTACTTTACCAATTTTATGCATAAATGAATCGGTCTATATTTATTGAATGCAGTAATAGTTTGTAAATGGGCAATTATGTATGGTTCAGGAGCATCGATATTTCTTGATGCTTTCATACAAACATCAAAACTTGCATGTAAGTAATGGTACTCGAAGGAATACCATGAAGCCTTAGTGTCGTCCAGTGGCTTTTTGTGTATCAAGGAGCAGAGAAGTGGTCTCAACGCTGTGAAGTCAATTTTTACAGTATTGCATTTAAGGTTTTTTTGCTACTTGAAAAATGGATGCCGTGTTTTTTGCAGTAAAGTGAAATGCCTGAAAAACACTGGACTAATTGCATAAGTGATCCGGGTAAAAGTGACGAACATAGTTAAAGTTATGCAAGATGAGAGAAAGTGGAAAAGATCACTAGATATGAGGATAAAATGCCCTTTAGGCAGAAGGCTACGTACGTGATTTGAGGTGGATTCTAATGCATATGCCGCTGTGTATTTATTTACACCTAAAGCATTTAATTTGGTATTTTGCTGTACATTACCTATATGTAATTTGATAATATCTACACTTGATATCCGTAAGTTTCATGTTTGTCAAGTCTACCTCTTTGAAGGGGATAACGATGTTGGATTCCACGGTTCATTGTGATATATAATATCTTGAGCATCACGAAGTTGGTATTGTAACCTGTCTGTCAGTAATTTTGCTTCAAGCAGGAAGTATTCAGTGAAGATGACGAAACTTTCCTTTTCATAAATATTAACTGATATCGTAGGATGAACTTACTACCGCCCTGCAGTAACTGTGTCATTATAGAGACCCGACATTTTCGCTGTAGTGCGTTTTGGTTGCTTCATTGATCGTCTTTCCCTGTTAGCAAACTTTTTGTTTTAAGGCAGTATCACCAAAAGCTCGGCAAAATGCCTCTGCTCTGTTCAAGATAACAAAGAATGTTAAATACCGAACATCTTGGAGGAGATGGTTGCGGAAATGTTCAAACCTGAAATATGCACAAATATGTGCGGCTTTGACTCCTTCACGTTTGCTGACGTTCTTCCGATAGTATGTTCAACAGCAGCATTGAAGTAGTTGCGTTAGGGAGAAAAAAATTTGCCTGCTTTTCGAAAATCGTACTTAAAATACCGCCTTCTGTACATTTACGAACCGATGCATAACGGTTTTGGACGACGTTAGGTTGACTGTGCTATTATATTTTCATTACACGTTGTTAGTCTTTTTCAGGGTGTTTTCCATGGCATATGTGAAGAAGTAAATGTGTACGTTGTTGGAAGTCATAACGGGTTATACCTTATCATTAACATAAATCGCGACGGATTTTCATATGAGCTCCTTGGCCATTCAAAAATGACTGCGTTTAGGCATTTGTGATTGACAGTGCGGTTGTTATTTAAATAGTCGTATGACTTTGGCTTATTACATTACAAGCTTGTTTCTGTTAACTGTTAATTTAAGGCTTACTTCCTTTTGCATCTGTACTATTGTAGGTTGTGCTTCGACAAGAACAATGGTATTTGTCCTCGTTGTGTCAGAAGATCTAGTCTTACATCGAAGAGGTTGTGTAGCAGCGTCTTGTCTGACTGACCAGATTACCTTTTTGGCGACCGTGTTGGCTAGTTGTTGACGAACGCCAGCGAGCAAAATAAACAGCGTCCTTTGCTGAACTTTGTTATCATGAATTTAGCTTTACCAAACTTGTATTAAATATTTATTCGAGAAGTTGTGTACATATCTTGTGTATCCTGCGTGTTCATTGTTCAGGTTCAGCGTTCACGCACATTATTTATGTCTTCGCCTCCTCCTTTAAAATGTAACGCGATCCGGCCATGAAGTTGATGCTGAATAAGATCGAAGAACAGTCCGACTGGACCGAAGGTTCAATCA